GATTAGTCTTATGTCTGAGAAAACGCGTGTCTTCGAGTTTTCATGCAGTTTTCTTTTGCATTATTCTACGCAAAATATGGTCGGTAATTTGCTCGCTCGGGTAAAAGCATCGTGTCCAAGGTGCAAGATCAACAATCACAGGTTCGAATCTCGGTCGCATACAAAGTTTTTTTTTAATGTTTATTCAAGTTTTTAGTTTTTTTTTAAAAAAGGCACAAGATTGACAATCATAGGTGTCTGGGTTCGAATCCCGGTCGGATACAAAGGTTTAATTATTATTTTTTTTATATTTATTCAAATTTTTAGTTCTTTTTTTAAAGAAAATTGTACTTCTGAACTAAAAACTCCGAGCGAAGCTCGATGGCCCAGGTACTATGTATTTAAACTAATAACTAACTAATATTTATACATATAATAAAACAGTAACTAAGCGAAATGTATACGTGAAATATTTCTTCAAAACAATGACTGCAACGTATTGTGTCCTACAGACCCCAAAATAATGATTATGAAAAATTTTGTTCCTATGTTTTCTGTATGTCTGTTTGTCTGTTTGGGTGTGCGTGTTTCACGAAAAAAGTACTGAACCGATTTTAGCTAAATTTTGTGTACTGATAACTTATTACTCGGGTTAGGATATTTCAGACATCTTTTACTGCAGGAAAATAAAAGAAAAGGGGGAGGAGAGGAGCGGAGCGGAGAGGAGCGAGAAGAGAGGAGCCTGTTGTTGAGATTTGGCCTGTCTTTTGCAGTTCTTTTCCGCAAATCGTCTTCGCCTGTCTACAGCGCTTGTCTTCTTCGCATGTCTTCTCCTCTCCTCTCGTCTCCTGTTACCCCCTCTCCGCTCCCATCCTTTCATCCCCCTTTTCTCTTAAAAAAACAAACATTTATATTATATATTTATTTATTTGTGTAACTGTTTCTTTAACTGTTTGTTTGTTAAACTGTGAATTTGCTTAAATGTCAGTTAACTTAACTGCCAGTTAGCTTAACTGTCACTTAATTAACTGTCAGTTTTTTTAACTGTCAGTAAGATTAACTGTCAGTTTTATGAACGGCTAGTAAGTTTAACAATCAGTTAATTTAACTGTCGGTTAGTTTTACCTCCAGTTAGTTTAACTGTCAGTAAGTTTAACTCAAAGTTAGATTAACTGTCAGTTAGTTTAACTGTCTCTTCGTTAATCTGTCAGTTTCTTTATCTGTCAGTAAGTACAAATATAAGGTTGACTGTCAGATTTATTAACGGCTAGTAAGTTTAACTGTCAGTTAGTTTAACTGTCTGTTCGTTTAACTGTCAGTTATTTTAACTATGAATTTCATTTACTGTCATTAAGATTAACTGTCAGTTAGATTAACTGTCAGTTTGTTTAACTGTCAGTTTGTTTAACTGTCAGTTTGTTTAACTGTCAGTTTGTTTAACTATTATCAGTAAGTTTAACTGTCAGTTTGATTTACTGTCAGTACCGTTAACTGTCAGTTAGATTAACTGTCAGTTTGATTAACTGTCAGTTTGATTCACGGCTAGTAAGATTAATTGTCAGTTAATTTAACTGTCAGTTAGTTTAACTGTTAGTTAGTATAACCTTCAATCAGTTTAACTATAGATTATATAGATTTTTAACTATCCCACGGGAACTCTTTAATTTTCTTTCATTTTTTAAAAGTATCTAAAATGTTGACCAGGTATATAAGGTACCTCCATGAAAATTTCATTTAAATCGGTCCACCAGTTTCGGAGATTAGCCCGTACAAACAGATAAACAGACAGAAACAAAAAAATTGGAAGAATCTGGATTTGTTCTATTTCTCTTCTTACATCCTCCTGACTCGGTTTTTAGCATATTTTTTCTATGTACAAACATTCGACCTCTAAGTTTTAAAAATTTCATCAGTTCATTTGGCAGATTCATTTTCAATGTATTCTAAGCTGGTGGCAGATACGAGATCTGTCGTTTTTTTTTTGTGTTTGTTATTGTTAGGACAAGTTTTGTATAGAAGGAAATTAAAAGATTTTCTTTTTTTTACTAAAATAAGAATTTTTTTAATCTCATGATAAAAAGTGACTGAGTGAAATAGTTTTTATCCCGGAAATCATCCCTTAAGGGGGCTGAGGATGGGGATGAAAGTTTGTATGGGGAAGCAAGCTAGCTAGTTACATACGTATAATATTACAGTGATTCATAATTAAAAGAATACTTTTACCTAACAAAAAAATATCCAATTAAAATCGATTCTCAATAGGCGAAGGTATCGTGTAACGAACACAAAATATAAAGTACCTACATTGTTTTTAAAAAAGGCTTAATTAAAAGAATCTATCGTATTGGTAAATATATCTATACTTATTATAAAAATAAGTCCCCCGGCCGCGTCTTTCTGTCCTCCTGTCTGTCCTCCTGTCTGTCTGTACGCGATAAACTCGAAAACTACTGAACGGATTTTTATACGGTTTTCAACAATAGAAAGAGTAATTCTTGAGGAAGGTTTAGGTATATAATTTATTATGCTTTTATGTAAATTAGCTGAAATACGGCGACAAATGTTGAAGAGGTCGCAAAAAATCTCGCCAAATGGGAACTTTCCACGCGAACGCCGCGTAAACTAGCAAAGATACAGTTAAGTAATGTACTAGAGAATTCAAAATCTATAAAAATGCTACAAAAAAGTCCGCGATAGCATATCTCTATCTCTTACGGTTGACTTACAATAACCACTTTTATGTTAACATTTTTAATTAAAAACATTACGTTATTTTCAAAGTTATTTTCTTTAGTTCGGTATTAATCCTTATCCAAATGAATATTTTAGTTAGCTTAGTCATTTAATGCAGATTAAAATTGCTCTTTACACTAAATCAATCAGATGAATAGTTTTTGAGATATCGTTGTTAGAAGTAATTAGTAGCGAAACATTTTTAATGCTTGGCGAGCATTGAGATGCCTACGGCGAGTCCATCCCCTCTGCCCCGCATCGCTCGACCGCCTGCTCAAGCTATATAAACCGGGCGATGTAGCGCGCGATCCTAGGATACTTTTTACCGCGGGAAAATATCTTATTTCTGAGGAAAAATACAAAAACTGCAATGTAAGAGTATACTAATATGTAACACCTAAGAATTTAGTTTTTGGTCATCTGAACGCGGGCGGAGCCGCGGGCAATGCTAGTAATAAACATAAAATTCGTTAACTAGGGTCATTCAAAACTATGTAAATATTAAGCATAAAAGTATTATCACTCACTCACGGTGAATGTAAACGATCTGTTGTTAAAAATTCAAATGTTTTCTTTTAAGACTTTTACTTTAATAATAAAAAGTTAATAAATATTATACTTAATATCGTAAAGTATAGTGATGTAACGAATATTCGCATATTTTTTCACATTCGCATTCGTATTCGCAAGAAACGTGCGAACGTTTGGTTAATGTTTTTGACAAACAAAAAAGAAATTATATATGGAATTGATGGATATAGAATAACAATACGTAACTGTGCTTTACTCAAGTTTTTATATCACTGTATTATTTTTGAATAGGTATCAGTTAAATTTGACAAATGCACTAATACTAGGCAGTGGTAGCCCAGTGGTAACGAGACAGTGGTAGTCCAGTGGTAACGCGCTCGCTTGAGAAACCGAGTGAAGCGGGTTCAAATCCCGAAGCTCGCATCTCTGATATTTTCATGTGCGAATCATTTTTAGCGTGATTACTACTTGCCTAACGGTGAAAGGAAACAACGTGAGAAAACCTGCATGTCTGAGAAAATCAAAAAAAAATTTCGAAAGACAACAGTGGGACGTTAAGAAGGGATAAACTAACCTCAAATCACAACAGATCTTTTCAACTGAACATTATGTGACTATGTGTACTGTATAGGGCTACGTTCGGCTTAAACACGGCCGACACGAAATATCAAACTTTCTGTTTAGCATTTTGCGCACTCTTTATTTGAAAGTCAACATTCGCATTCGCAAATATTGGAGATGGATATTCGCAATTGCGTATGCTAAAAGTCGAACATTCGTTACATCACTAGTAAAGTATCGTATAAACAAATCTAATTTATTTACTATTACCTATAAATATATTGGTTTAGGCAAGTAGAGGACTTTCAAGTATCGAGTGCTATCTGATGATAGCTGATAAACATATCCAGTGCATTACTATATGACAGTACCTACTCTCTTGACGCAGATAGATCGAGCTAACGGCGCTTTTCTTCACTCAATTGTTTTAAGCTATTAATTGTTCCGATAGCGCCGAACAATGCAAGTGAGTATGAACAATGAAACCGGAAAAACGTTTTCAATTACGTTAATATGTAACATTATTACTTATTCATAACGGTGTCTTAAATGTTGAAATCCAAAAATGTCCGAAATAGAAGAAATTGTTTTAAAAGAGATTTATAACCGCCTTCCAAAAAGAAAGAAGTCGTCGGAATCTTTTTTTATGTATGTTCACCGATTACTCGAAGACGCCTGAACCGATTTATAATTTTTTTTTGTTTTAAGGGGTATACTTTCCATGTGGTCCCATTTAAATTTTATTGAAATCGGTCGAGGGCTTTTAAAAAAAATCAACAATAAATTATTTTTTAAATAAATCGTTTAATCGAGTATGTTATTAAAAACTTTCTTGTTACAAATTACCTGCTTATTACGTCCCTAAAAATGGAAAAATAAAAACTTAAAAAAACTGACTTTCAGGCACTAAAATGTAAAAAATAACTAAACGGAGGTTTTCATTCAGAATAGATAGATACCTAATCAGATATTTTTGAAGTCAGTGATCTATTGTCATTAGAAAGATGTATAAATTAAGTTAGGAAATATATGTAATATAATAGTACGTAGGTATCAATACTCAATATATACTTTATATAAATTGTTGTTATACAACAAATCGACTAAGCATGAAGAGAGAAAATAATTCAGTAGCAATTGTTTTATGTTTGCGGTCGCGAGCACAATATCTTTGAAGATTAGAAGTGTATAAGTCAATGATTTCGTTTCGCGGGCGGAAACGGGCGCGCCCACGCACAGGTCAGAGCAGTGACCCCGCAGCTCACCTCGGCGCGGGCGCACGCGGCACGTCTACTACTCGCGGACCTCATTGTTCCACCTTCCAAGAGATCTCGGGCGCAGGTAACTGGAAGCCACTCCGCATTAACAGGTTCATAGATTAAATGCACAGATAATAATTTAGCCGTAATGAATCAATTAAATAGATATCGAATCTAAACTTTGATTGTACATTTAACGTGACAGATCCTCTCTGTTAATAAGAAATAACTAAAAGTTATAATTGAAGTTTTATTATTTGTTCAGACAGCTTTTGGTAACCGTTATGAAAAAATAATCTTTCTATTTTGCACGACTGCCGCTAGCTATATTATTATTAAATTTGGTTAAGTGCCTAGGTAGGTATGTAGGTCCTAGGTAGGTACTTAACTAAATAACAAGTAGGTAAAGACAACTTTTATTTTTTTCCGTGTAATGCAGAAAACGAAGTATATTTCTCGGTTCTGATAAAATTAAACTGATAAATTAGATCTACCAATATATTAATTTACACAGAAAATTTTGAAATGTACAAATACTGTTTTTCATTTATTATACTAAATATTACTATAAGAATGTAAACATTCTTGAAACATTAAACAAGTGCATACATTTTATACTTACTATTAATATGATTAATATGATCTTATTAAACTAAAGACAAGTAGGTAAGTGTTAATTCTCATTAAAAGCTATATCATATTTCGTTATAACTAGAACTACATTAAGCGCTTAAATGATCTTTCTTAATTAGAAACACCAATAAAGCAGAACGCCCATCACTATCACAAATTACACCTGCGTTACTAATTGTGTCCGACGCGCATATTACTCTCGCATGTAATTCTTTACATCTAACCGTGTTCAAATTGTATTTATTGCTGCAATCTGTCACCACCGTAATGACTACCGCAGCGACCGCGTATGAAATGAAACCTAACGCATCACTTTTAAATGAATAGCGCTTTTGGAGAGTTACCCTTAATGGACGTGCAAAAAGGAAAGGTTTTTTATCTCAAACAATATAAATTCCTATAACTTTTCTTCCTACATCGAATACTTGACTAAAATACCAAAAGAAGGCAACGTTCATCTGTTAAGATCAAAGGTTTTAAAGCAGAAGCCTTCGTATTGTAAATGGCGATTATGAAATGAAAACTTTAAACTCTTCTATATTCTTAAACTAAGAAGAAAATTAATGCTAACTTTTGGAATCAAAGGAACAGTACTTTACTAAAGTATAGGTATCCTATGGACCTAATTGTGTCTATATTGACCGACTTTAAAAAGAAAGAGATACATAGGTAAAGCGTACATTTTTTAGGGAGAAGCCCCCGCTTGCCTTATAACTAACTCCTGAAGTTGGGTTTGGGTGAGTGTCAAATTTAAAAAAGTTACCGCAGTTGTAAATTTTCGAGGGAGATAATTTAAAGAAAAAACTACTTTGCAGAAAAAACTGTGCATGAAGTAAAAATAACTAGAAATAATTTTGAAGAATAATATTTAATGTAATAAAAATAGTAACACAATTTACACGTAGCACGTAAATTTACACGGCATTATAATCAATATTTTCGTCTTATAAGCTACAGTCTTGATCTTGATTTATGGATGTGCGGTTTTAAACTTGCCGTATTATTAACAAGTTGTAAATCACCGATCAGAATTAGGACTACGGTGAATCGACTGCCCGATATATTGTGTTGACGGTATTTTAACAATACAGTGGTGAAACCTAAAGTATATCTATGTCCATATTGTACGTAGATTAGTACATCAATGATAAGCTTAGCAAATGTTAGGTTTGTTTAAAAAAAACCTTAGGATTGGAAAACGAGGAAACCTCTTACATGTTTATATACTTCGAACGAAACGCTTTCCTTAAGCATCATGTGTTTACTTCGAAAAATGTACCGTAAAATGACTATGAAAGTGGGTGTACTTGCTATAAAATATAAATAGGTACGAGTATGGTACGCTTGTTAATTTCATTCAATCATCATGAACAATGAAAAAGGAAATGCTTAACAGAATTGTTTGTCAATATTCAACAAATTTACAATCTTTTTTTATGTGTACATTAAGAGATAATACTTAACTGAATGCCAGAATAAATAAAAAATATTCAATCGATTAAATATTCCCAAGCTGTAAGTGCCTTCGTAGGCCGCAAGAGAGCGGTGGCAGCCTGGACGCCGGCAAATGTATCATGTGCGATAATGAACTGGCTCGTGTGCACGACTGTGTCTGCGAACTCACATATAATGCACAATTCTTGCCATATTAAATCGTGCTTTACTTAGCCGTTGCCATATAAAACACCCCTCATGATATTTGTTTGCAAGGACACTCACATTTTTTCAGACTTGTGATCTTTATTCGTGTAAAATAACTGTCAGTATAATTAGGGCTTATATAATTGACATCTATTACTTGTAGTGGTGGAGTTCGTGGATCTCTTGTATAACATTTGAATATGTTCAATATAATATTATACCAAAACTCGTCTAGCATGAGGTCATGAACATTGAACATGCCAGTCGGTTTAAGGTACTTAAAGTAGAACAAAGTACCTGCATATTGCTTTTGCAGGACAAACTTGCAATGAATATGGACGCCATTTGTGAACAAGACAGGATCTCGGGTTTCTTAAACTGGCACCTCCCACGTGGTGCCTTGTGCCCTTAACCTTTCGTGCGGCCATATCGCGGTTCATATGCCTTATAATGTGATCACCATAGAGCGTATACGGTTGCGAGTTATGTCTAAATTTGGAGCAAATAGACTGCTGTATAATCAGAGGGAAAGAGCAATTAACATTACTAAAATATAAGTGTACATGACAAAATAAAGCGCTAAGGACAGTATTGCGAGATTACGTATAGTAAGTAGACTTTTCAGCTATAAACCAGTATTTTAATTAAAATGTTTCGAATAATCAATTTATAATAGAAGCAATGAATCATGAATAGTATAAACTATTGTTCGCAGTTACAACTTTAATTCCCTATTGATATCGATCCGCGACAACAGCGCACCTGTGCCGCGCCGTGGCGGCGCCGACGCCGACGCACTTTCAAAAAAGGCTTACGTGGTACTGTAAAGCAATATTATCCATTTTATGTCTGACCCAAATATCAGGTTATATACTCGTATCTGGTATCGACTACTGAGTTGTAAATTTTTTGTAATCTGATTTATTAGTAAACAATTAAAAAATAATTTATCTCTTTTTGATAAGTTTTATATGTACCAGCAAACAGTTAAAAAAAATTAAATAGTCATAGAAAGTCAAACCTAGGTAGGTATATAACGAACCAATACATTTTACTCGCAATATCAATAAATAATGTGAGTACTTCACACAATTCTGTGCAAGTACTTTGGATGCTAATCTGAAAATAAATTTATTCTAAGACAATAAAGGAAATCTTTGTAGTTTATTGTTATAACAAACAAGATTAACAATAGAACAGATATGGATTATTTTATTTCGCCATGTCGACTCTCCCACGCCAGTGGATTCAATTATAGAGGAAAAGTAGATAGGTCGGCTCGCGAGTGGTCCGCTCGTGACCCGTAAATTGGAACGGTCCGTCGCACGCTCTTGTCGCACCTTAGCCGCTCCGGCCGCCCGCCGCAATGCTGCGCCACCACAAGTACCACAACATAATTTAACGGCATTCAAAACATCTTTACTATTTGCACTAGATAAGCCATATAGGACTATCAATATATAATATATATACACACATATTATATATATCTCAAATTCAGGAACTTTTATTGTATAGAGTAAAGCGTGTATCTACATTAGTATGGGCACATATTAACATACTTGTATAAAAATAGGTTGGACAATGTGATATCTTAATCTTAAGAAGTGAGACTGAGTAAAAATGTTTTATGAAAAGTATATATCTTTATATATATAATTCTTCTGTGAGTGTGTATGTCACTGAACTTCTCTCAAACGACTGGACCGATTTTGATGAAATTTTTTGTGTGTGTTCAAGGGGATCTGAGAATGGATTAGATTCACAATTTGAATAATAATTTTCATCAAAATAGTCCAGAATGTTTTAGCTTATTAAAAAAAGTTTGAAATTTTCAAATTAAAGACGTGTAGACAGGACAACGTCTGTCGGGTCAGCTAGTATAATGTATAAAAATAGTGCCTTGCCATTACGATAGGCGATCTCATAAGGATTCAAATCCTTGTAATTCATAATACTTTCTTAGATTTACGCGAATATTTGATATTTTAAATAAAACTATCTTTTCGGATTTTTACGCGGATTTAATTTGTTTTTTTTTTTTATTTCTGGTTTCCGACATTTCGAATGCTTTACAGCAATCATTATAATTCATATAAAATCAGTAGTAATTAAAAATAGAAAAGATTCACAGTTGATTTTTATAATTTGTAACTTGTACTTCCTTAAATATTCCACAATGGACAGAACAATTACGAGTATATACAGACAACATCACAACTCCCATTTACTATAGGTATTGTTACCGAGAAAGCAGAGAAAGTGGAATAAAAATGATTACCAAATATGTTAACAGATGTTTAATATACAAGGGAAGAATAATATGGTACGTCAATTGTAAATCGCGATTATAACGCATAAACACCTACAGATCACCACAACTTGGAGCACTTACGCACACTTCTTTACTAGAATATATTGGACTTTGTTGACACAACACTATATGTAGCCTATTTTTCCTCTTTTATATGATCTTTGTTTTCAAATATTCATATCTATTTCTGATTAACATTCCACAGTATACTAATTATTATGATGATCTCTAATGATTCTATCTGACTACAAACTGAAACTTAGCTGCAAATCAGAAAATAGATAGTTGTCTCGTCTGAACGGAGAGATAATTTTGTACCTACTCAAGTTAGAAATGGTGAAAAAATTAAAGCTATTAAGAAGTATATTTTTCAAAATAACTTTTTCTTAAAGCTAATATGCTAATATTTTTATTTAAGCGAAATAAATAATGTTGGTAAATATTTTATAGTTCGGTAAATATGTTTTACTTAGTTTTAGTCTCTTTGATACTACAGAACCCTCGGTGCGAAGAGTCAGACTCTAACTTCCCCAATTTTATTTTATTCGGCTGCACACATACATTAAATCGCCTATGATTGGTGTTCATATAACAACGTTTTATTTAGTATCAGTTATCTAATGCGTTTTACAAATTTGATAATAATAATAATCCCATTATAAATAAATTCCCTCGGCTACTAACTACTATAGTCATTTATTTTGTTACTTGTTCCATATTTCATGGTTAGATTTTACTAGCTATTACGGTACAATTATGAGTCACAAACAAATGAAATAATGTTCCAAAGTTGGCTTAGTTAGCTATCTGGTAGCGTAAACAGGTGTGCTAGCCTTATTGGGTCCGAAACGCCTAACAAACAATAACGCAATCGCCTAACCAGGTTCGCTGCTTTTATAGAAATCATATCCATTCTTGACAAGTAGGTAAGTTAAAAAAATAACAATAGAAATTTAAGCACCAGAAACTAGGAAAAGTTCTTCTATTAAGCTCTCCAACAAGCACACGTGGACACTGTTTGTTTTATTTTCATCAATTTATTTATTACATAAATAGCTTAAAATAGTACACCACTGTCCGTAACCGTCCTGTGACCTCCGCAGTCTGTGCTAGTTGAACTGTTTACCCGTAATACTGTATTCCTCGCTTATGCAGCGGTGTACAGTGTACCGGGAACTTTAGTACCTATGTCGCAACTATTTATTAAATACTTCTGTAATAATGCAAAAATCTTATAGGTAATATATGTCCCCACATATTTATTATTATTATTTCTTATATTATTTTTGCATGCTTGTTACGCGTATTTTATCGTCTTGCCAACTAGCTAGCAGCGCAGAAGATATTAAAGAGCACAAGTGTACGCGCAGACACAAGCACACTCTCTATCCTGTTACTCTCGTTACTCGTACTCCGGTGGGACGACAGTGAGAGATCAGACGCAGTCATATATATTGGTATATGTATATATAGAACAAATGTTTGTGTAATATTTTATATTAATAAATAATACATATAGGTATTAATGTATAGTTTTTTACTAACGTAATTTTTTTTAGAAAACTGGATTACAATAGAGTTGTAATAATTAGCCGTATTTAATTCCAATACTTCGTTGATTTATATTTTGCCGTTCAGTTTATTGTAATTAGCAAATACATAAAAGTAATGCCTGATATTCACATGTCAATTAGAGTTACCAAGTCATAAAGTTAAGAAACATATTCAATAGAGGTACAATTAATAGTAAATACTCGTCGCAGGAGCATCCAGATGATATTTACGGAAACGTCATTTAGGTAATAGGGTTTTAGAAGGTATTTAGCCGTAAGTATAAGCAGACACATTATGGTTGCTGCGTTAAGAATTATGATTGCTTTAATTGGCGGCCAAGCGTGGCTTGTGGCTGGTTAGTGTGCATATTTCTATGCTTATTTTCAAGGTACGATAAGAATGTTCTATTAAGCAAAAATGCATACAGGTTTCTGTTGTAAGAATTAAGAATGTAAAAAACATTTTGCACTGCTTTCATCCTCATTTCATATCTAAGTATGAAAATTAGCTTGCTTATTATAATGTTTAACATTCTTCTGAGTGCATTTCTGACGGTAAGCAGCAATATTAGAAACATTACGAAGGGTCAATATTTAATTATTATATTAGGAAAAAGAAATAAATCACTGGAATTCTGAAAACATAATCTCATGCTAATCTATAGGTTACATGAATAATTCTGAGGACAAAAAGTAAACAAGTCCACTATCGCTTGCGGGTCGCGTGCCTGCTTGCAATTAAACTGCCCGTTGGATGCGCTACCGCTGAGATCTCTAGATATAAACCGAGCTCGTCAATTTTAATTATTATTATCGTTTCTACTGTAAAGCGTTAAGCAAACAAAACAACATTAAGTGACAACTAAGAATTTAAAAATGCAATATTAGAAGACAACCTAACATAAGAATGTTTTAAACATTACCTACAGAGAAATAAAATTACCACTGATAAATATGTAATTAGTAAGTACCTATTTTCCATAAATCCCTTATGGAAAAATGGTACTTACATATAAAAACATCAATAGCATAAAAATAAATTAAACCTTTAGTTCCAAGCATTTTTAGCAAGTTTTTAACAAAAACGTAAAGTAAATCAGAATAAAAAATCTGATAAAAAGGTGTCGATATATTTATAGTTGTACGTCTTAATTATGTTATCATTCGATGAGGACGTAACGAAGGGGTCATATTCATAAATATTTAAATAAGGTACACGACGTTTATCAGCTGTCAAGTTGTTCGCAGAAAGCAGCAGGCGTGGCCGCGCGGCTCTGCTCGAGCGCTTGTATTACAGAGAGGCCATTGTTCCGAGGCAATTTTGCATGCTCTTTCTGTTCGTCTTCGCTTCGTCATTTTAATGTCAAATAAGATAAAAAAGTAAGGCATATTACTACTACGTAACAAAACTCAATGAAATGCAGCAAATTAATTAATTATATCTGAGATCACTCAGAGCGAGAGTTGTTAAAAAATAAAAGATTATTTAAGACATTTAAACAGGCGATAACCAAATGAATCAAGGTAATAAAAAATATTCACATCGTCAACTTTCCCTTAATAACTGCGGCGTACCTACCTGCCTGCTGCCATTATTAAAAGGAAATAAAAGCACAAAATGTTTTTCATATGAGTAATAATTAAAAATATCTTTGATATCTCCAATGCACAATTAATGCAAATCCAAATCTTAGGTAGTAAGGGAAATAAAAATCAAGATTATAAACTGACGTCACAGTCATCACACAATAAAATGCATTATTGTCAAGGTTAAATTTATAACCGGTCAAATAATTGAAAATAGTAACGGTGTGATTTATGCAAATCGATAGCTTGACGTTCAATTTAAACTGTGAGGCACGTTGAGCCCGCGGCGATCGCAGCCATTAGGCGCTTCGCAGGACACGCGCTGTGCCTTATCTCGCGCATCAGTCGCGTCTACATGGAGACACATCCG